GGGGGGGGGGGGAACGTAACAAAGTGGTGAAGGTGTACGAGAATGTGACAGAATGCATGAGCGTGTGAGGGTGCACAGGTGGGCGTGTGTCTAAGAGAATGTGAGTGTGCACGGCAGGGGCTGCAAGGGTGGAGGAGTGTGTGCACCCACGTTTGCGAGCACACGGCCCTCCAGCCGCCCCCCCCACTGCCCTTACCTCCGCTCGTTGCCAAACAGACGGGCCACCTCTTCCCTGCCAGGGCTTCGGGCCCGAGTCCTACGCTCCAGCCGCCTTCTCTCCACCTGGAAAGCTTCTCGGTGGCTGATCCTGATGGCCTTAGGGACGTCGGCCAGGGTGGCATACTGCCTGCTGGCTTTAAAGGCAGAGGCGCGCCCCAGTCTTTCTGCACCCCGCCCCCCAGCGCTGCCGGAGTCCACGTGGGCAGGGGGCCGGCTGGCTGTGTCCGGGGAGCTGAAGGAGCCACTGCAGACGGTTCGGCCAGAGGGCTGAGGACCTGGGGGAGGAAGGGGACGGCCAAGCTCCCGGGAGGGCGGGCCGCAGCCACTGTACCTGTTGGTGGGAGTGCCGGGGCTGGGCGGGGAGAGCGCTGGCGGCAGCGGCTGCTCCTCGGCCTTCGCGTCCTCCTTGGTCTTCTCTAGGGAGAAGTAGCCGCTCTCCACGCGGACCTTGCGGCCACAGTCCACACGCTCGCTGCTCGAGGAGCTCTCCTCTGCAAAGAGGGGCAGGAGACACGCTGGGCCGGCTGCCACCTCTGGCTGAGGACTTCCCAAGGCGGCACGCGGATCCAAACAGGCCACCTCTCTACCCCCCACCTCCAGAGGCTGGCGTGGCCCCCCACAGGGCAGAGCCCCAGGAGAGGAACTTACCCTTATCTGCCTCTCCCTACTGGGCTGCCACTGACAGACTGTCAGGGGCTCCCTGAGCTTCTAGACTGGGGGCTCCGCTGGGAGAGCAGGATTGTCCCAGGAGAGACGTCCCAGCAACAACTGCTCCCTACCGAACATCAAGCAGGAGTCCAGGGGCCAACTAGCCACACGACCTTTTACTACGTGTTTGGAGGGACGGGCAGAGAAGCACCTTGGCAGGAGTGAGAGGAGTGAATGGTTCTGGATGTGGATGGGCGTGTGCTGCCTGGGGAGGGCTGAGGGACCTTCTGCCCAGAGCCCGTACAAGATGCATTTCACCTGAACGAGCTGGGTCCCAACTGTCCATGCGCCTCTAGCAGCCTGGACAGGTGTAAAGGGCAAAGCCAGCCTGTCTCGTGCAGAGCCCTCTAGGGCCTGGACGAGGGAGGCTGCGGCTGCCGCCCTGCTTCTGCTCAGGCAACTCTAAGCGCTAGCTGGAGAAGCGCAGTCGTGCCAACCCTTTCCTCCCCAGCATCCTCTTCCCCTGCTTCACCCAGGCGCCTGGGCAGGATGGGACAGGGAGCGGGACGAGACAGCCCTCACTGCTGCTGCTCTCAGGACGCAGGGGGCTTCCAGAGATAACGGGGACTTGAAGACAAAGCAGCCATGAGACACAGGAACCAGAGGCCCCCTTGTACACAGACCTCGTTACAGAGCATCCTGATTCTCACGACACCTGCCTGGGGCTCACAGAGCACGTGCTGTCTTCCTCCTTTACAGGTAGGACTAAAAGAGCTACAGGGGAGGGGGAGGGCAATGGCTGGAGGCCAGTGACCCAGGTCCCACACCAGGCCAGGCCCAGCCCGGGGCTGATGGACACAAGGTGAGGGAGCCTGAGGCCCGGGGCTCACGATCGCCTCAGAACCAGCTCTGTCGGGAGGCCCGTTCTAGTGCTTCCAGCTGGGGCACCAGGGCAGGTGGGCCCGAGGGCCAGCCCGGCCACCACTTACCATCTCTGCTCTCCAGCCCTGGCTCCCTCAGGGTGCCGGCCACAGGAGGCTGGCTCTGGCTGGGACTCTGAGCTGGACTCGGGCTGCTCCCGTCGGGCTGGTCCTTGGCCCTCATTTCTTCCTGCCAGAGTGTGGACTTGGTGGTGGGGACCTTCTCAGCACTGGGGATACTGCTGCTGCTGCTGCTGGTGACAGCCATCTTGGCCGGCCCTGGCTCCTGCAGGGGAGAGCGGTGTCCGTGCGGGCCTGGGAGCACACGGTCTGAGCTGCCCGGGTACCTGGCTACCAAGGTCAACTACACCGTGTCAGAGGCCCAGAATGCCAGAAGGGAAGGCTCAGAACAGAGATGTCCTGGTTGGGCTGGAAGCTTTTTCTCTTCTGCAGCCCCAGCCAGCACCCCAGGTGGGAACCCAGGCCAGAGCTGGTGCTGCCCCAAGGGAGAAGCATTTGTGCGAGGGGTACTTAGCCAGACACAGAGTCCAAGGCCAGAGCACACAGAGAACCGTAACTCCACACTGCAAGCCTAGAGCCCAGACAGGGCAGGGCTGGGACCCCCGCCACTCTGCGGCACCTGCTCAGGCCCTGGGCCCGAGTCCCTGCCCACCCAGGGCACTGGGGTGCCTGCTGCTGAGGGGCTGCCAGCAGGATGGCTCTGGGTGCCCCCAGAAATGAGGCACATCTCAGCTGTCTTTCCCCAAAACACAGGGACCACCTGCTGGGCTCTCGGGGTGCTGCACCCTCCAGCCCTCACCAACCACCCCGCAGGGGAGGCTGCCTGGGCTGAGAGGAGGCGGCAGCCCACGCTCGCCCGACCAGTAAGAGGCAGAGTGGGGCTCTGAGCACTTTCCACCACCAGGCACCCCAGGAGCAGGAGAAAGGCCCAAGAGGGGGCTTCACGTTGGACGGGCACCCCTGAGGAGCCACCAAGAAGCGCAGGCACCCTGTGTCCCAAAGTGAGAGACAGGCATTTCACCAGGTCCAAAGTTTCCCTTAGCTCTGCAAGGATCTCAGGCTTCCTGGGATGGGATAAAGCCAGGATGACTCTTCCCACAGACCCAGGATACACCTGACGGCCCATTCAGGCAGAGCCATTAGCAGACCTGACTCCACAGCTGGAGATTCCCGAGAGCTCTGGCCCCCCACGGAAGAAGTGGACTTGGAAGAACATGGTGTGGTTTCTGACAGTTTCCTGAGACTAAAGCAGAACCAGCTCCAATGACCCGAGGAAGCCTGGCCCTGGGGCCCCTGCTCCACACCCCAGCGGCGACGCTTTCCTAAGCAGAAGCCCTTCTGGGTGCCGCTGCCCTGCCCCCTCCCAGCAGCCTGAGGTTTGTGCTCAGAGGCTGGGAGCGGCTCTGCCGGGCCCCGGGTGGCGCTGAGATTCCTCCTGCAGAGCTGGGCGGGGGTGACCTGAAGACCTTGCTCGGTGCATCTGTCCCCTCTGTGGAGGGGAGGCTGGACCAAGGGAGACAGCCAAGGGAGACAGAGGCCGCCAAAAAGGGTGGAGGGGGCGGGGCGGCGCTGTGCCCATGATGGAAGGGCCTTCCTGCCAGTGCTCTCAGCCCCACGCCATGAGTGTAGTACCCTGGCACAGGCATACCCCTCTCTGATGCCCGGGGTGAGCCCAGCACTGGGTAGGGGGTGGGCTTGCAAGGATCCTCAAGAGGCAGAGGCAATTCCAGGCCTGACATGCAAGGGGCAGTGACTGGGAGCTTAAGGAACACGTTTCCCAGCACCAAGCGCTCCCAGACCTGCCTCCTGGGCCTGGGCCCCCAACCTGCACAGGGCTGGTTGCACCCACAGACCCCTCCCAGGCTCCCACTTCTGGGGACTCATCCCAGAGAACAAGGGCCCTGGGGGTCTCTGGATGGCTGCCAAGGCCCACAGGGAGCTCTTTTTCTCCTTTTGGTAGCCCTGCTTTCTCCTGCCTCTATGCCAAGCCTCACCGAGTCAGCAGGGACGGGAGGGCAGTCTGGCAGCAGGAACAAAGCCACCGTGGCTTGCAGGAGAGGGGCTGGTTTCTAAGTAAAGTCGCTTCTCTCCAGCGCAGCTAGGTGGACAGCAGACTTCGCAGGGGCTGGGCCAGGGCCACATGGCACCACCCCCACTCCCCATGCTGTCACCATCATGGGAGGGAGGGTGCTGGGGCTCACACCAACACAGATCCCTGGTGCCTGTGCGAGAGGAAGGAGGGGAAGCCTAGGCTCCCAGGCGCTGTCTCTGTGTGGCCGGGACAGCTGCACGCCCAGGGCTGTCAATGCCATAATAAAGTCTGTGCTGTCTGGCTGCTCAGAAAGGGTTTTCAAAGCAGAGACGAAAGAGGAAGCAGGGCAGGAAGGCAGGCCCCAGTCAAGGGGCCTCTGAAGCCTCCACATGCTAAGCAGGCCCCTCTGGAGGGGGTTTCACAGAAAGCCTTGCTTTCTACCTCCAGGGCATGGAAACTGAGCAGGGACCCAGTGAGGAGGAGGGTCCTGACCCGGAGTGGGTACGGCAGCAAGCACCCAAGTGGAAAATAAGATACCTGAGAAGAGGTGGCAGCTGACAACACGTGTATGGGCCTGAGGTGGGCCGGGCCCTGGACCTGACGTGGGGCCTCACTCATGGAGAAAGGTCTGCTGTTTTATGGGTCTTGGAAGAAACACCACGAAGCAAGGGCGAAGAGCCTGAGCAGGTAGAGAGACAGAGGATCCAGCCTCCCAGGGCTCTGCCCAACGATCCAAGCTCCTGGCCTGCACACGGGGCTGGGAGACACATGGCCCCTGGCCTCACCCGAGTCCCAGCTCTGGGCTTTGGGGAGAGGGAGGTAAGGGCCGCTGGTTACACCCTGAGTGGACGATCACTCCTCCTCTCTAGGCACCTCGTTACCGGGAAGTCTTTCCTCAGACAGGCTGAGCAAGAAGCAGCTCCTGGGAGCCTGTGCCTCTCAGGCTCCAGCTTCAGAGACTCTGGTCAGGGCCAGCCTGTCTCCCCCACTGCGCTGGGCTCTGCTGGGACCCCCGCCCCCGGCAGAGAGGACGTCTGCTCTCCCCCACAGCCCGATCCTCATCCCCTGTCATGCCTGAGGGGTGCCTGCACGCTCCAAGGCCCCAGCTCCCAAATGCCTCGACACGCTCCTCGAAACAGGACCCTGGGCCCCCCTGCCCGCCTGAGTTCCTAGAGCGTGGGGTGCAGCAAAGGGACACCTCCAGCCCCCAGCTGGTTTGATCCCAAACTCCGGGGCCATGAGAAAAAGGCTAGGTATGGGGTCTTGGGTTCTTGTCTCTACGGGGGCCCCTAAGGCATTAGGCTTTTCCCACAGCTCCATCTTGGGCTGCGGAGGGGAGGCCTGCCCAGAGACCCTCCCCCGCCCCCCGGACCCAAGTCTCCTCTGGACAGGCCCCACAGCCCTCCATGAGACTGACTGACGGGGTTGTCCCTGATGAAGGCTCACAGCTTCCAGAAATCAGCAGCCTTGAATGGGACGCTCAGGGGAGCCAGGGCAGAAGGAAGAGACACCCTGCCTGCCGTAGGTCGAGCAGAGGAGGCTGGGACCTCAGTACCCTGGGCTCTAAGAGACCCTCGGGGAAGAGGGTGATCTCCCCACCCTGCAATCACGTGGCTCCTGCTACCAACCCAAAATGTGAAGCAGCATTTGCGGGGAGAGGATGTCACAGGGGAAGGGACAGCTGGGAAGCAGGGACACAACCAAATTCCCCGGCCTGGTTGAAAGTGCCTTCTGTATGTGTATTTGCCTTATTTGGAGGCAGGAGCTCTGCTCCAACACTGTTTCCAAGGCATCGCTTTGGAAACGCAATGGAACTTAAACACCCTTATTCCGCCTGGGGTTTTCTCTCAAATCAGGAAGCTTTGGGGGATTTGCCTGTGTGTCTGCTGTTCCCCAGCAGGAAGCTCCACTTTCCGTCTCTAAGTGCAATTCCATTTTGCCGACTTCCTGCCAGGGACACTACCTTCCAAGGGGATGCTGGCCTGGGACCCTTCGGGGAGGGTGGGCAGAGGGCAGACAAGGACCATCGGCTGAGAGCAGGCCGGGGCCACACTCCATCAGCAGGAGGGCCTGTGCAGCAGCCCAGGGCAGGCGTGGCCAGGGGAGTCTGAGGGGGCATGCAGGAGAAAGGGGACCGGGCCAGCACACACCTCCCTCTCCTGCCCAGACCTCTGTCACTCAGGGAAGCCCAGAGGAGCCAGCAGGGACTGATGAGCCCCAGAGGGTAGCCAGGTTCTCCACGGGAGGGCTGTCAGGCTCTGGGGCTTGTGAGATGCCCACGGGACCCCCGATCACCATCCTGTTCACTCTCGGGTGCTGTGAGGCTCAATCAGGCAAGACAAGAGCACTGAGTAAAAGGAAAGTTTGGGGCAGAGAGGAAAGGAATCACATGTACAGTTGGCCCTTTGAACAAGCAGGGCTTGGAGCGCTGCCCCCTCTGAGTGGTCAAATATCCAGCACGACTTAGGGTCGGCTCTCTGTATCCGCGGTTCCTCCATGTCCGCGGCTCCAACCAACCGCGGACCGTGTAGTCCTGCAGGATTTACTATTGAAAACAACCCACATAAAGTGGGCCCACAGAGCTCAAGCCCCTGTTGTTCCAGGGTCAGCTGCACTGAGCACCCAGGACGGGCCCAGTACCTCCTTCCACACACACGGGTAGCCGAGAACTAGACTTCAACAGGCCCATTTTGCAAATCAGCTCACTGAGTCCCTGAATCCCTCCAGTGCCCTGAGCCCCTACAGGCCAGCCAGGGAGGGAAGGGCTGGACCTGGTGGGACTACCCCAGCCACCTCCCACTCTGGTCTCATGGGATCTGAGGCAGAGGCACAAAATCAAGGCCAGTGCCAGTGTTTTCCATTTATGGTCAGCCCAGAGCAGAAGTGGGGTCCCCCAAGAGCCCCTCACTTGGCCGGGACACTCTAGGACCCCCCTGCCCAGCCCCCCCCGTTCAGCCTGCTGTCTGCAGAATCATCTCTGTGTGGGAAGTGGAGCTGAGCTGAAACCTTTCCTCCTGGAATGCTCCTGGCTCCCCAGCAGCTGGCAGGATGGTCAGGGGGAGGGACACACACTGTGCTACTGCTGCAAACCCCCTGCCTGCAGGGTGGATGCCTCTGGGGGCAGCTCCACAGCAGGCCACCCCCTCCCAGTAGGGGTCCTGCCTTGTGGCTTGGAGAGGAGTGTGCAGCTCACAGACCTACAGAAGGAAGGAAAGGACCCCAGGGCTGATGACCACCTCACCCCTGACGTGACCCCTTTCCCTTGTGCCCTATTCTAGGCTGGGTACTGAAGCCCCCCAACCTCCTAGGGCGCACTTTCTTTGCCCCAGCTCCACCGAGGGGATGCCAGCTGGCAGCCCCGCCCTCACCTGTGGCGTGGGGGGCTCCACCTTCCGCTTCTTCTTCTGGTTCTGCTTGTTGGTCCTGGGATAGACCGTGAGCATCTCCAGCCAGCTGGGGAAAGAGGAGGGGGGAGTGCCAGTCAGACCCTGCTCTCAGGGACCAGGACCCCGCCGGTGCCCACCCAGCCTGCAGGCACCAGCGCAAGGCAGAGCACCACTCAGATCAGAGCTGTCACTGCCGGGGCAGGAAGCCCAGCAGCGCAGCTGGGACGAGCACAGACTGAGCCGAGGCCACGCCCAGGCGCTGACCCCACGATGACCACAGCGCAGGCGGGGAGGCCCTTCAGGCCTGGAGATGGGGCAGGCTCCACGCTGGTGCGGCAGGAGGCCTGACCGCAAGCCCCTGGCAAGGACTCGGCCCTGTTTCTACTACTGACCTTTCTCTGGGGCCTGGACTCCACTCGAGGAAGGAACCCGGGACTCTGCTACTGAACTTCCCCACAGCGGGTCACTTAAGGGGGCTGCGCATCTGACCTCCCAGACTCATTCGCTCACCTCTGGGCCCGACTTGCACAGGGAGGGCGCTGGGCACCTCGGTTTTGGGGAAGGCCCAGCAGAGCTGCCCAGGGACTCTGTCCAGGGCCCACATGCTGGACCAGCAGCAGGGAAGGCCACGGGGGAGCGTGGGAAGAACAGGGACTGAGGCAGGAGGCTTCGATTCAGATCTGGCTCTGCCACCCCCAAACCATGACCCCAGGTGGCTCCCAGGCCTCTGGGCTTCCGTCTCCCGGTCTCTGACGCCAGGGGCTGGATTAGGCCGTGACATGACCACTGCTTGCCTCACTAGAGCTTCGTAATAGCTGGGAAGGTTGGAGGAAGGGGAAAGAAGGAGGTGTGGTGGCGAACGGCAGCCCCAGTGCTTTGTCCACAGGGGAAGGTACTGCAGGAGACACTGGGCCACTTCTTCCCAGAAGCCCAGGGTCCGTGTTGGGCCTGCTGCCAGCCTAGGCTGACGCCCTGGCGGCGCTGGCTGAGCTGCTGTACAAGGCAGCGTCTGCACGGTCAGGGCCCTGGCTGCAGCGCTGACCAGCACCCCAAGCCTGGGGCAGGGAGAAGGGCTCTGGTCTTTAGTTCTCAGAGGTGCTTCTTTCCTTTGCGGGGGAGGGGGGCGGGGTGGAGGCTGGTCATAGCCGGCTTCCAGGACAGCCTAGGGGGCTGTGCTGGCTGTGCTGCTGACAGCTGTCAGCTGGGAGAGCAGGATTGGGTGTGGGGCATCCCAGCATCCGAGGTGAGGCCCAGCCCAGCGAGAGCAGGGGATTCTCAGTTTGCTGAGAGAATGAACAATCCCTGCACTGTGCAGACCTGAAGCACAGGTCCTGCGCCTGGGGTCCTCGAAGCAAGAAAGGAGGCCACGGATGAATCTGCACAGCAGCAGACGAGCACTCTCCAAGGCCTTCCTGCAGGTAACCTAAGGAGTTCGCGTGCTTGTGGGGTTAAGAGACCTGCTTTCTAGCCCGCCTCGGGGGCTGAATTTCCTCTGGGAAGTTCACACCAAGGGGCCATGCCTGCAGAGGGCCCCTCTTCAAGCTTTACCGGGGAGGGGAGGGGAGGAGAGACTGCTCGGCAAAGTCACCTCATCCCGCAGGGCCCCAGGAGTGGGGGCCATGGCAGGGAGGGGCAGAGCCTTCGGGGTGCCCGGAGCCCCTGCATGCTGGCCCAGTCGCTCTTGAATGGCAACACTAACGAGCTGGGCAAACCTGTGCACCTCGCACGACAGGGCCTCACGGGAAAGGAGAGAAGATCTGCACCGCGGCTACGCTGCTGACTAACTGGAGCCCCCAGAGACTCAGGGATGGAGCGCAGGGCGAGGGTGGGCCCGGCCTGCCCCACTCAGCGGTGCCGTGGCCAGAGGCTGGAGGATGCCCAGTCCAGGCACAGATAATGGGCCGTGTCCCCCGTACTGGGGTTCCTCACAGCAGCCCAGCAGGATGTGTCTGATGCTACCCAGATGGGTTACAGACGTTAAAATACACCCAGGAAAGAGATGAGTGCGGGGAACGAAGACACGCGGCTGGTGGTGAATGTGGGCGCCAGGGACACGGCAGAGGGGCCCCTCAACTCTGAGGGCAGAGCTCAAAGGCAGCGGTATGGAGAGGAGGGGCAGCTGGGGCCCAGCCCCGCCAGAGGCACTGAAGAGCCCCCTTGCCAACTCCTGCCAAACCTCACCTCCCCTGAAGAGCCAGGTGGAGCGGCACCTCCTGCTGTGAGGGGACAGGGAAAGA